TGAGTATAAATTTTTCAATTTTTTTTTTAACCTCTATAACTAAGGACTACCCTAATGCACATAATAATAAAATGTTTATAATTATCAACAACTAAACAAATATATATTTTTTATGCAACTGAAGGGTAACTTTTATTTTTATATTTATTTATTCTTTCTTTCTTTCTGGACTTTTACAGGATTTTAAGGCCCATCGCCGCAACAACATATTGTTTCCATTCCTCTCTATCATTTGCACATTCTTCTGCGTTTCTTACGTTCAGAAGTTATTATTAGAAGTTATTAAGTATTATTAGAAAAATATTCTCGAGAAGAGTATTTGATTATTGGTCTATAATAGGGCATAATTTTAATATTTTCCCCGGTCGTAAAAATTCCTAGTTCCACCTCTGCTTGGATTTAAGCATTTTTCAAACAAATTTTACCAGTTTTTATGGGAATATTTGGGCATGTTTTGAGATTTTTTTCCGTACATATATTATATTTTAAAAAACCTAAGAATACGCCTGTTAATTATAACTTAAGAACTTACACCGTACTTTACACCATGACCATACTGCCAAAAACCGAAAACAAATATTTTTAACATATAATTATTAAACGCTGCTGTCTATTGCATATCACTACAGTTTTTGAACAGCCATTATAATAATGAATTATGTGTTGGTGTTGAGTGTCGAATACGGGGGGATCTATGTTCATATCGTACACGGACGGTCCGTGTACGTGTTCAAATGTTAATTTTTATGTACACGCAGTGTCATAATTGTAGAGGGGCAAAGAGGACAAGTGTCCCCTCTGACCATTTTTTGAGAGATAAAGGTTTAATTCTGTCCCCCCCCCCAAGATAATCCAACAGTACAAATAGCACATTTTATTAATGAACTCTTATGGATATTATTTAACAATATTGGTATCTAGTACATGCTACCTACAATTTATGTTTATTTAAACCAGGGATTCTCAAACTTTTATAAACACTGTACCCCTTTTTACCAATAAACTTTTTATGTACCCCTTCTTAGTTGGTAAAATAAAATATATATAAAAAATTTAAAGACACGCACATAATGCAAAATAAAAAATAAAAAGACCACCACAATGGTTATTTGTACTGATTATATGCATAAATAATACGGCTTATGGTGGAGGAGGCATGGCCCATTCCTCTAATAACTATGGCATTGCACAGTTTAGTAAAAAATGCTGCAACCGACAGTATTTTATAATGACAGTACTTTTATAATGATAACTAACAAAAACATGTATTACATTTTATTAAATTAGTTTATTAATTATGACACTTGGATGATTACCACCTTAATTAAATAATAAATTGATAAAATTAAAAGAATAATAATAATGAAATATAAATAGGTATTTTTGTAAAACGAGAATAGTCATATAAAAAGTTTATAGCATTGTTGGACAGTCCTGTCCAATGTAGTACAATTGGTAGCCCTAGCATAGCTTAATGTCGTGCCAATATAATTTTAACATATTTGACTGTGTACTTGATATAATAGCAGACGCGTTTAATCAATGATGAATTAAACGATTAGTTACAGTATCGTTTTAAGCCAGAAATTCGCAAATTTTAACTTGAATTTTTGAGTTTTTTCCACTATTTAAATTTAAAAGTTTGTTGGCCAGCCTCGTATCCCTTAAAAAATGTCAAGTACCCTGTAGGGGTACGCGTACCACAGTTTGAAAACCACTGATTTAAAACATAAAATGAGTTAAATGACTTATGTAAAATATAATAATAAATATATTATATTGCCCCCCCCCCTGAGTTTTTTCCCAGTTACGCCATTGTGTACACGAGCACCCGGGTAGGTATCTGTTTACAATTGAATCGTGAATCTCGAAAATGGCTCATATCGGAAAATTAAAATTTTTCGCGAATCTAAAAAACTAATTTTCTCTTGAATTATTTTCTTTATTTTAACAATGAACAACAATTAATTAACTCATTTATATCAATAGAAAAGATATATGAACCCATCTCGTTCATAAAATATCGATCTATATGTGTAGATGAAAAAAATGTAACAAATTCTATTTTGATAGAAACACGAGGTGGTCCTTTTTCGAAATTCATGATTCAAATAGACACAGCGTCTGTTAAATTAATCCACGATTACGAAAATATTATCTTATACTTATTTCTTACACATCGCAATAGGTATATTATTTCATTATAAATATTTTGTTCTTCGGAGTCTGAACTTTTTCTTCTACTTATTCAAATATATAAATTTCATATGATAATAAATTGCATAATTTATGTGATAATTACTTACGCTGTTTGACGTTATGTCCCCCTTGACTTTGAAGATTTAAATTAAAGGGGACGCATAAACTTATTTTAAATAAAAAGGAGGACTCCGTCCTCTCAAGTCCCCCTTCGCCTTAACTACTGACTGTATTGTTATTGACAACAAAATGTTCTTTATGGGAAATAAACAACAACAAACTACTGAAAATTATTTTTCAATACCCACTGACCTCTTCTGGTGACTCTTCATCCATACAGCCAGCGCTATTGTACGTTACCACGCGTAACGCGATTATTTTTGATCTGTGACCTTGGTTGATGGATATCGCTAAGCAGATATTATAATGGTTACGGAGTGCAGTACGTTTTTTAAATACATTACGTGTATGATATTGTACCTGTGTTGAAAGACGGAGAACGTATTGTATAAGGGATACCATCCATTTGCTGGTGATACAATTTGCTTTCTCTTAAATCCCACACGCATATGCTCCTTAGGTATGGATGGAAATAACATGATATAAGTATGAACTTTTTACATTACATTTTAGAAGTAATATCACAATCTTTCGAAAAAGGAATTTCATTTAGTCCCAAATTATATTTAGTTTTAATCGTCATTCTGTTATTAATTTGAATGTAATAACTTCTTAAAAACAACACTTTTTTCTCTTTTTTTTTTTGTTTTTTGTTGTTTTAGCTGTTAACTTAATTTAATGGAAGTAAATTAAAACAATGTTTAGAAATCTATCATAAAAAAAGCTACACGTGTATTCATTAAAATAAATCTTTTGTAAGACAATTATACTATAAGCCATTAAATTAAATTGCAGAATTTACTCTTTTAGGTATATTAATTTTAATTTATAATAATGCGATAAAAAGGCGAATTTAAAACTAGTGTGTAAGAATAGCCGAGTTTCTCAGTTAAATTCACCTAACGTTCATATTTTAAATTGTATTTTTATAATTTGATGCCGTGAGTATATATAAATCTAGATAGCGCCACATAATATAAAATGAATATAATTATTTGAGATTCATATTATAATTATATATTTTATCACATATTAAATCAATAAATCTACATTTACATAAGTACAGTAAAAACTGTAGGAAATCCATAAAAAAAATGTACTTATACATATTTCTGTTAAGCTAAAGATCTTTATCGATATTACAATAATGTATTTTTTTTTTCTGTAAGCACTTTTGCTATAGTAAATTATTCAATTAAATCTGTGTTAAAATGTCAACAAAGTCGGTAGTTCTTGTAAATATTAACATTTTTTTTGTCTTTTTTTTCTTATCAATATTTATAGTTGTAAATCTGAACAAAAATCTCAAAATGTATATTATTGATACATATTTTTCGATTATCTTCGTGGTTTTAAAGATGATAAAAAAAAACCGAAAACCTTAGAAAAATCAATATCTTTAATGTTAGATAACAAGAATATACACATTTATTTTGTTATAAGATGTATATATAAGATTATATAATATATAATCATATAATATGATATTAGTACCTATTTAAAACTGATTATTTTATGAATAGCTAATTTTGTGTAACTACACCGACAGTTGTAAATCAAAATAAATTGACCCGGTCAATTTTGGTTTTTAAAATTTTTACAATTTCAGTAATAACAGAAGAATATATTATTAACAGATATGTTTTACGATAATCCATATTATCAAAATGTTTTTTATACTAACCAATTCGCAGAATAATATTTTGGATGCGGTGATTTATCATTATTTTCTATTGAAGAAGACTTAACGCTTAATCACAATATAGAACTTACACTCAGAGTTTCAGAACTAATCTTTACAACTACAATCAGCAACTGCTCCATTATTATGATTGAAAGTAATAAAATATTGAAGATTAGGTGAATAACCCGGCTTCGCCCGTGTGCAGTTTTTTGTGTTACATCTTTTTTTTTTCTTTTTTTTTTTATCAGTTTTTATATAACAGTTTGTTTTTAAATGTTTTGGCCCTGGGTTGTCCATGTATTGTAACAATTAGACATTGCCAAAAAATTAGTATATTTTAGTATTTCGAAAACAGATTGTAAAATAAAATTGTAATCGGAGAAATGTTGAAATAAAATGAAGAGTATTAAATTATAACTTACTCTGTATTATAAGGCTATGATACATGGTCGTGGTCATACATGTCGTACAAGTAGCTTCAGTGAAAAGACCCAGATTAAAAAAAATCCTACCAAATATAATGTTTAAGCCCTATATAAACCTCTTTCTGAAAATATGGCCAAGAAATTACATTTCCAATGTTAAACACCTTTCAACCTTTTAAGGGTATAATTTTGGGAAATACATTCATGGGGAGTCAGTATGTCATGAAATAAAACTACTGGCTAAATGTTATAATCATAGCTTCAGCGGTTCCGGCTATGCGATGATGAATCACTCAAGACAAGTAATTTTATGTATACAGATAAACTGATTATATTTAACAAATCAAGAAGATAAAACTACTTTATTGTTTTTATTATTTATTTGTGTTACAAAATATTCCTACAGTAATTATTATTTTATAAGCTTTGCATAATGTTGTAAGAAAAGAAAACATTTAAAAATAAGAATTAAAATAGCACGTGAACTTCAATTCTAGTGTACATGAATGTTTTAAAAAATGTTATGTGTGATATACATATTGTTTTTTCATAAAAGTTTATAAATCTAGAATCATGAAAAAATCAAATTAATAATGTCTCGTTACTTTTATCAAATTTATTCTCATGGGATTCGTTTATTCGTTACATAACTAGGTTATTTTATTTTCATATTGAAAATTTGATAATTAATCCAGGTAGCAAAGTATAACATTTTTTTTTGTCTTCGTTGATGCGAAATTTCTTATAGGTATAATAATATAGTTATTACTCGAAGACGATAAAAATTTTTGATTTATGATATTTATACAAATTGGCTAAAGTGATGTAAACTTTGTTCAGAATGATTAGAAATTTTATACCTAACAAGTAGGTATACTTATTTATTACATAATATATTATTATAGCTCACATGACTGATTACTTAATATTTTAATTACATTTTTATACTTATTATTTTATAGTTTATATTTTAATTATATTTTCATTATTATATATGTTTTATGCTCATTTGGATTTAATTGTTTTATTAGCTATTTGTTTATTACTTAACATTATTTACTTTTTTTATTTTTTTACTACTGTTATACTATTAATGTTGTGTATGAATCAATAAAATAAATTTTGGAATTTTACCCATCTACGTGCGCAGTCATGACAATTCCACTGTTTGACTTGGGAATGATGCAAATCGATGTTATACGATTAAGACATTTAAGAATATACTCAGGGCTTTCCATATTTGATGTATTCCAAATGCATATTACATATTGAGTACAATACGAATCTATCACCTGAAACAAAACCGATTTGCATTCATATAATAAAGAATAATCATCATCATGTCTTCGATTTGAAGAAATAACTGGTGTCTAGTTAAAATAAATCTGTGGGATGATGATTTCCACCCAATGACACGTTGCAGACAAAATGTACAAGATGTGTCCGAAGTTTGGTTTAGAGTTACATTAATCTATTAATTACATTTTATTGTAATTTTATATGCATAAGATAATCGTCTTATTGTTCTTATAGTAGTAATGCTATCGCGAATAACAATACTTATTTACAAAACCTGTTTACACATTTTCTTGTAAGAACAGGATTCAAACTTAAATTATGAAATCGTACCGTTCATATTTTAATCAGCTCTACTTAGAATATAATAATAGTATAAAATTACTTTCAGAGGTAATTATTTCACTCGATTGATTCCCATCAAACTAACAATTTAAAAAGCATGTAACATATATATTCTGCTTACTAAATGCAAAACGTTTAACGTTATACGATACACCTATAATCGGAAATTATGCAGAGTGTGATTTTGTTTACGAAATAGTGTTCAATAGTTTTTTACTGAATTGATAAGAATTGTAAATTGAATTCAAATAGCTTTGATTATTTTACAATCCATTTTAAATTTAAATATAAGATATCGAACATGTTGAAATAGTGTCTACCATAAACAGTAATATATGCTGGACGTCGTGATTTTCTTTACAGTTATTTTATTGTTTTAATCAAGGAATAACCACGTTCATAGGAGTGAAATAAATATATTTCATAAACACACAAAAAAGATAAACTGGTTAAAATGTTGATGATCTACTAATAATATGTATGCAACATTTTTTATCTATTGAGAATACACGATCTGAAATTAATGGAATAGCGAAGCATAAACATTGGTATGCTAACAAACACGAAAACAAACAATAAAGTATTAAATAAATATTTGTATTTACATTAATACATTATTTCTATGGTTTTTCAGTTACAAGTATTTTTTCCAAGATCTTATCTACTTATTTATGAGTATAATGCTCTGACCGACAATCTGAGTACTTTATTTATTACGTTTCTTCAACGTTTATTGCATTGTTTTATATATACCCCAAACAGAAAATTGTTTATTCCTATTTCTGTATTCTTAATTTGGATTTGGAACATACCTCGTGCGTCGTAGCAACGGACTCGATAGAAGACGTTATTTGAGCAAACTCTATCAACGTTACGGGACAGTTGGCGAGGAATTTGATTGCTGATATCGCTGGACTCAGGTGTCCGGAGCTGAATTCCAAGTTGTTTTTATTAGACATTAACAGCCGTTCGACTTGTCCCATTGTCTGCTGTTCTAAAATCATTAACATCATTCGGCCAACTGCGGACACTCTTTTCGAGTCTACGGTCGCTACGCGCACCAGACGATGACCACCAGCTGGCTTCATCTGAAACCGGTAAACTAAATTACCTAATTTACTGATACATATTATTTTAAAACGATGCAATGCTTGAAGACAAAACTAATCATTGATGGTATTGAAAATTAAAATGCACTTAGCCAACACGGTCGTATTTCACTATTTATTATTTAAATGTATATATTTCTAAAATTACAGCAATCATACTATTTTGTGTAAACTATAATTTATATTTCTAGCAAAGCAACAAACGAATTTTTATTCAATCATTTCAATGTCTACGATTTTCAGATAAATAACAGTTATTAATTACGAGTGTTGGTGAACTAACATATATACTATTGTTTTCGATAACAGTATCCTAATGGATACTATAATATAACAGAATGATATTTTTTTTTAAAATAGTAAAGAATATTTTAATAAATGTACTGATGTAAAAAAATTACCAATTGCCAAAATTCTATTTGTTTTATTCTCAAAATAATTTCCTCGCCTATAATGTAAAAGAGTTTATAAATAAATATAAAAAATCAAACATGGCAAAGAATTAAAAACTGTTTAGAAATTTATTGGAATAATTGCAATGTTTTGTCAATGTACAAAGAAAAAATAAATAAATAAATAAAACCTAATACTGATACGAGAAATCTGTTTGTACGTATTCATTTCCATAAAAATCACTAATATGTAATCGTATATCATGATAGATTTACTCTACATTCAAGGACAATTCATAATTCTATCATAGAAACGATGGTACTCATATGATTTCTTAAACAAATTTCTTATACAAATATAATTAAATACTGATACTTATATAATATGAATATAAAGTAGACGAGAAAAATGTGTTTTTAAATTATCACTAAATCATTACGTATATAATTTACTCTTATTTTTTAGCTAGATCTTACCATGATCCGGTAATAATTTATTGAATGTAAAAATCAAAAAATTCATACACATTTCTTCAAAGTCTTTTTTGACTGAGTGATAAGGAATGCATTGGTTTAACAATATTGTTTTATTATTCAACGGATAAATAATCAGGTGATAAATTTATAACAAAAAAGTTCTCATTTTCATATAAACTGTTAGGTAAATTTTAAATTAGTTTTATTTTACCAAGAATACACCTTATTATACTTATTAAATGTGTCTTAGATGAGGTAAATATTTGATTGGCTATCGTACAACTTGTGTTCACTTAGTCTATCTACCCTAATTATACACATATTTTACGATATATTATTATATTATTTAGAATCAGCGACGAGTATAAAAATACATAAGTTAGGTAGAAGACTTGAGAGAAGAAACCACTCATTGATATAACTCCGTGTACATGGGTGCAAGGAGGTGCGCTTGCACCCCCCTGTGTTTAAAAAAAAAAGGTTAAAATTTAAAAATGTAGGTTAGAGGCTATCATTATCATTATCGGATTTTCTAGTAGCTCGCATTATTTAGTACCCGTCGTAAAAAAAACGAAAATAATTATCATACAATTTGAAACTTAAATAAATTATGCATTATTAAGAAATCAGCATATATATACTATACAAGATGCACCCCCGTGACGAAATTCCTGGTAGCATGTATGTCGGTAAATAAATTACAAACTTAACACTGTACACATGCAATTACCTCCTCGTGTTCATACTGAGAATCTGAACGAAATTATCTGCTGATAAATGTTTATAAGTATTAATAATTAAAAAAAAAAAAAAATCTATTGGAAGATATAGACTCAAGGCTTTATTTATTTTTAACAAAGAACCTATAACTAATAGCAGCATGCAATTAATAAGGATTCATTTTTTATTTACACTTAAATAATCAGACGAAAGACAATCCGATTCGTTTGTTAATAATATAGGCCGTTGTGTCCATTTTTCGGATAATTCAATCTCATTCGTTTGAATTTCCTTCTCCGCATTGTCATCACCAGTTTGTGTTTGGACCTAGAAGGTGAAAAAAATTTAACATTATCTTTAAAAAGTTTTTTTTATACCATTAGTTTTGAAATATTCGTTCTTATGTTTCTTTGGTCGTAATTGATTATTTTTAAAGGGCTAATAAAAAGATAATTGTAATTACATTTTAAGTAAAAGTTTTTTAATATGTAATATAAAACTTATTTTGTAAATAAACGTAGTAATCTGACATTTCAAAAAAATAAAAATTAATTATTACCCATACTTTTTATACCTGTGCCATGTTTGAACGGCCATACATTTTTATGTATTGCTCATAAGGTATTGCTGGCAAATCCAACAATGAATAACTCACTGTATCCAACTTAATCATTTCCATTAATACATTTCCTCTATTTTGGAGGTTTTCTTTTGCCTATATTAGAATTTTCTATAAAAATATTTTTCTATTTAATTTTATACTTATTATACTTCTTGTTCTTGTTTCCTCTTTCTTGCCGTTTTGAAATTATTTAAACCCCTTTCAATGATCTGTTCTAACGAGTTGATTTCAAACTTCTCATCTAAGAAAGGTTCTAATTTTTCTTCCACACACACGGGTAAAGCGAACTTGGAGCCTATGTTATTTGAAATCGATTGTTCGGTCATAATTTGTTGTGATGATGACCCTAGTGGTGTTGAATCTATGGAAGTGTCGGATTCAAAATCGGATTCATAATCCTTAAATGTTTAAAGAATATTAAAAAAAAAAAAGGAATAAGATTTTGTTTATCTATTTTTTACTTCAAAGTCATCTTCGTACTCTTGATTATCTGATACGTCGGATGAGCAGTCTACTACAGTCTTATCATTATGAATAGTAACAATTTCTTTTTCTATTTGGTCCATTTTAATCTCATTTTGTTTCATTGTCTCTTTTTTGTGTTTAACATTGTTTGGAATCTTTTCCTCTGTAATTTTTTATTATGGTTTAATACATTTCTAAACTAAAGCGTGTTGCTTAAATTTGTTACCTATATCAAAAAATATTTCATGTATTTTATTATTCATATTATTATAGTAATTTTACATAATATGTCTTGCTATCCAATAAAAATGTCATAAGAAGATAAACACAGATAAAACTTCATTGTATTTTTACACGAGTAAAATCTAAGAATTAAATTATTATCTTAAACGACTAACTTCAATATATTGTTTTTCAAATTTAGTATTGATTTATTAAATAAAACAATAGCACATTAGAGTTCACATTTTAAAATGAAACGAATAAATAATGGTATGCAATATTAGAGGTAATGCTGTTGTGTTTTTTTTTTTTTTTTTAACAGATCGATATTTCAAACGTGGATTATTATTAACACATAACAGGAAGTCACGAAAAATAGTGAAACTCTGTTTAAATCATACTTTTTGGTTTGTTTTACTATAAAAACGTTGTTTCGATTTATAATTTATCACCTAGGAAAAAAAAAACCATAGGCATTGAGTAATGAGTAATCTGTTCCGTTTTCATACAATACTTAGCTTAAACACACTAGTATTTCTCACAACTTTGGGTAATAAATAGTAATATAATATAAATTAGCAATGTATATATACAAAAGCGAGTAAGAAAAATTTCAACAAAAATTGTTAAATTACTGTAAAAATAATAAAATATTTTAGTTTTCGTTTAATAACCTATACGTTAAATTTATTTGATTCTGAAAATAAAATATGTATAGCTTAAGCTTTCTATTGATCCCTAGTTTATTCAATTTGAATATTATTGCGAAACTCGTACGAGTGTACTCAGAAATCGTGCTGCAAATAATGTAGCACATTTAAACCGAAGCGCGAAGCGTTCGTTAATAATAATAATGATGATAGTAAGTGAGATATTATAATGTGATTTAAATTATATCGAAGCAGCGGTGCCAACTACGCGCGACGCCTAATTGGCAATACTGACTTTTCTTGACAGGTGGCGGCCGCGGTGCCGATTCGTTTTTGAACCGTGTAGTTTTTCTGCTATTAGCCGTCGCAGCCACCGCAGCTTTCGTTCGGCCCGGTAACGGAATCGGTACGACCGATTTCCTCGGCGCTGGAGGACGGGTCTGTAACGGCAAAGCCCGTGAGCTCAATAGTAAATAAATACATAAAAAAAAAAAAAATTTAAAAAAAATATGCACAACAAACGGGTAAAATAATTAATAATTATCGACGGCGGTACACGTGCCGCCGGCATCTCACCGTCACAAAACCGTTGAAATCCTCGACGGTTCTTCTAGCCATTTCGAACATAAACAACACAACCTAACCGAGATTAACGGTCGTATTATACATTATTCAATCGATAACGTGTGCCCAACAACGTAAGCATATCATAATTACATGTACGCGTGTGTGTTCTATCTGTGAAACACCACCCAAACAGCTGTCCGCAGTCGCACTCCCATAATTGTGTGCGGTTCGCACGCGGTAAAGTTGTGTTTGCATGACAACCGTTTGTTGTGCCTCCTGGTGTGGCGATGGTGATACCCGTGACGATGACGGCCACCGAGAGGCATATTATTATCGTCGGAATTAAATTATTTATTATTGCTATCGGTTATTATGAACTGCCCGCGGGACAAATGTATATTCTACTACCGAACCGTTTTAACCGAACGTGGATGATGCGGTTTCGTTGATTTTATTTCGTCCACAACAGGTACCCGATGCGACGTAATGGCCGTAAGGGGGAGGGGCACATTGTTTGACATAGTTACCGTGAACTCGACCTACGATTTATTAGACTTTCCGTCGCGAATCCCTGTCGGACGGATCGCGTACCCGTCTTTCTCTCCAGAGGCGTACGAAAACCACGCGTCCGGGTACAAGCGCAGTACGTGCGCGTACATTCATAGTACCGTCAACCGGAATCGAGTCGACGGGACGGACAAAAGGGTTAGGGAAATCGGTTCAACAGGATGTGGCTCACAGATACGTAAGCTCGATAAAAAAAAAAAAAATAACGCAACACCGTACACTGCCCCGTGCCCGTATGTGTGCGTACGGTTTGGCATTGACCGGCCAGTGTTCCTGACGATCACTCGGGTGTGAATCCTGCCCGCGTGCACCCGGACGCGCGCTACCGTCACCGCCGACATCGGAGAATTACATATTGTTTTATTATTGTTGTTGTTATCAAAACGTTATTATTTCCAGTCTGCGGATACACTTACGCGCGTAACTACAGCGTTGGACCATTGTCCGATCCATTGTGTACACGAGTGCATTACATATCACTATTATTATCATGCGCGTCTATACATGTGTGTTCCAACACATGCACGAGGCCATGACGTACGGGGTGTAAATCTATCCGGTTAGGATCTGCTCCGGTAATCGGTTTCAGATCGATGCGCGGACGAAATGCCGTCGCAGCTGCACGATTGTCACACGCGGATCTCGCTATTACGGACGCATTATTCAGTATTTATTAATAGTTGATCGCAATTACAATAATTCACCGTCGTGCTTACGAACCGAGCAATAAAAACGAAATTTAATGAAAAAAACCGGACTGCAATTTTAAACATGATGGAAACCATGTTTGAATTCTCTCGCCAAAAGTACATGGTGAAAATAACGTACTTGTACATATACTATATATGTATATCATCATTCGATTATGCATATAAATGATTTCGATTTAAAATAGAACGTTTTTTCGTTGAAAACAATCACAATTATGTAAAGCCGAAAATGACGAAATTATTGCTTTTTACAGTTAGTGTCTGCGTAGCCTAGAACAGTGGTTATTGTTAAATTTTACAGATCGAATAATTATTATAAAATTATTTACAAATTAAAATAATTATTAAATAAATATTAGTTGCCGATCGTTTTAGATTTAAAGTGAAATTTGTTTATTTGTTTTATCGTGATGTAACTATAATTTGTTCCAAGAGAAATCTCTCAAATAAACAAATTAAAACCAAATCAAATTATTTTCTTCGTTTTTTTAACTCACACTTTTAAAGAGTGAATTTAAAACAAAAATACCATGCAGAAATTTCAAAGATAGAAATATTTATAAAAATTATTCACCAATTATATTCCCAAAAGTGTTATGTCTTTAAGTCTATATTTTTAAAAATATGTAAAAAATCGTTTATAAAATTTAATTTCCAAACTTATTGTATTTTTATATTATTTTGCATGAAAACCATTTTATGAACAATCACATAAGTAATAATATAATTTTTTTGATTCACATATCCAATGGCGTATCCATGGTGGTGGGGATTTGGGGGTCAGAGCCCCCCCCCCCCCCCAATGAACCTGAGATGGTAAATTAACTTTTACATGAAACATGGTTTTTTTCTTAAACACTTTTATATTTTAGAATTTTAACTTGGAAATCATATTAATAGTTTGTATAAACACGCAGACCGCACACACACACACACACACACACACGTCATAATATTATGATCATATTTAGATACTTTACTACTACTTTGAAAATTTTTGCTTAGGGAACATATTATTTAGGTTTTCTACAACGGTTGTCTGGTCCCGATAACTGAAATAAAAGCAATTTCATTGTCTGTATTCAAAGTTTATTTTGGGTTACCTATTGCAATAGCATTCACGGCTCGCCGATCATTTAACACAAGCACCTTATTGTGTAAAACTAATAGTTATTAGTTAATAGTTGGTCGTTGCCCGTTGGTGTCTCACTGTTTTATTTACTACTCGTTTATATCTTTATATTTAACATTTGTATTCCATTATATTTATTTCATTTTAATTTGACATCATTCTTAGACGTCTAAACATTACATTATGATAAGATATTTTTAAAATTTAATTTTTAGTATACCTAAATGATTGGACAGAAATTATTCTAATATCTAATATTTATGTTCCTATATTAGTTCCTAAATTGTTATTATTATTATTATTATTATTTATTATTATAGGCAAATTATCTAACAAATAAGCAGACTAAAAAAATTAATTATTTTTTTTTACCTGAGTCAAAAAAACTAATGTCAGTCAGACTTAAAAATACCGAGATCAATACAAATAGTAGTTAAAATGATAGTGATAAGATTAAATATATATCAATTTGCTGACCCCCGCCTCACCAAAAAGTTCCTGGCTACGCCTCTGCTCATATCCTTTAACATTTTATAATCGAACAAGAAAACGATTACAATATCTTATCAGAAGCATTACCACTGTCATGCTTCATAAACAGTTTCTACAAAAATAAAAATTAGTTCTTACGGTTTTGTTGTAAGTTTTTATTACATAGTTAGGTTTTAAATGTATAGAACGAAAATTATCAATTTTTTCCGTATTAGCTACGCTTTTGTATGAAATTACGACCTTAAAGGATTTCAGTTTACACAGAAGTGAAAATTGCACTTTTATCTCTTTGACTTTATCCTTTCTTCATACTTCGTAACCTTATCCTTGTCCGCTCACTTAACTATAAGGGTATCGCATGTATTGCGAATGCTTCTTTTCACATATCAAATAATATTATTGTATATTTTTATAACTATGAAAGATTATTCTTTTTTCAGGATTTCCGGTGTTCAGGGTTGGAAGAGCAAAAGAGCACAATGTTTCTGCTGACTCAATGAGCTCTATCAAACGTAAAGTTCAATTCTATATACTATATTACCGTTGTTATTGCATATTATGTGTTAGATAATAGTTACGGATCTCGACTCGCTGCGACTGCTATGATCGCACCTAAATAACGCAATACGATTTATGTCCTGTAGTTGCAATGGGTGTGCCCTACCCTTTCATCGATTAAGCGACCGGAACTACGGTAGGGTTCGGATAATTCTCCATTTACTATAGTGTGTTTGTATATGGATTCGGTTTTAGTTCAGGGCCGTAGAGAATTTTCGAAAATTAATGAATTCTAATTTATTTATAATAAACGTAAATATAGCAAATGAGGTTTCCAATGTGATCCCAAGAAACCCATTTAAGGTACAAGAAGATCTCAAGATTAAATATATGCCATCCAGTGATTAATTTACTGCCAGACTGTCTACTTCGAAGACGGAATGCGTAAATGTGTCTTGAGAATTGGACTTGAGCTTTAAAATGGTTTGAGTTCACATAAGATTTAGATGTTGAATGTCAATTTCAATGTAAATTGCCGATCCGTTTTAGGTAATGTAAATAAAATATGTGATTTTCAATATTATTTTACATATTATCTAGGTATTTCATATAACACATAGACATTATGCAAAATGCCAATTTTTTCTTAGGTAAAGTACAGAAAATGTTATTATATGTTAGGTATATTACATTACGATTAATATATATTATTACTCATAATACAGATAAAATTTAATTTTTACCTATTATTATATTATAACTATTATATAAATATTTTACTTAAACTACGAGTACTATTTACTTATTATAACATGTTGTAAAAAAGTGAAATTTTGAAGTGCATAAAATGTTACTTTTAAGGCAAATGTACTTTTTATTTTGACAATTGAACTTACAATCGCATTTTAAAAATCCTTAGCCAAATCTTGTGAATTGTATTTTTATCAACTCATCAGACGAAAAAATATTATTATTATAGGTGGCCAAGTTTTTAAAAAAAATTTGTAGTTTTTTATAAAAATTTGACTTCCAAAAATATGACTTATAAATCGTATCCCCATAGTTGCAATACCATAACGAGACACGAAAAAGACTAGAATAATGACGATATTGTAATAAAATTATTAGTACCTTCAAAATCATACCTCAGAATTATTATTATAGTAGTAAAAGAATCTTAATCTTAATTGCGTTAAAATCATGCACGCGCATTTAAGATAAACGATACCTAAGTAAAGTCGTTGGTAATAGGCGATGCCCAATTTTGTTTATTTTCATCGTATTGCCTATTCCACGTTTGGCACTATACATAATACCTAGACAAAGCTCGTATTATGTTTATTGCCGAATGATTTTTGGCATTTTATATAATGCCTAGGCATTTTCCAAAATACCGGATTATCTATAATAATATAGTAATATATATGTATATATAAAATAGTCATTATGGCATTGCTCAATGCCAGAAACATATAGATATTTGAGTTTATAAATTCCGATTATATCCTAAATGGACACATCTAAAATTGTTTAAATGTCTTATGTCTCAGCCTCCTGGATTGGCAGATATGTACAAATTATAATGTGTATAAAGCAGTACAGTAGATATTTTATGATTATCTTTGATCACAATATACTACTATTATAATAACCTACTAGTATAATATACATTATTACCAAATCGGAAATATAAGTTTTGTTACTTGTTACTCTTGTTATTATTATTATTATTATTATTATCACAATTATTATGTGTTACTCCTTAAAAAAAAAAATAGGACTAATAAATATTTATCATTAATGATGTAAAAGCTGAACATTATGAGTTTTACAAAAAAAATTAAAAAAATACTCTCTTTGAACACTTTTTTACAATATATTATTAATGAACGGTGGTTG